ATGCGCGCGCGCGTATATAATTAAATGAATTTTATTTAAACCAAAATCTCGGATTTTGTCATAACAATCAAGATTTTACATTTAAAACTAGAATCATATTATAAGTATTATATTATTTATTATATTATAAGAGGATTTGTTTAATATCTTTCAGTTTGGTTGGAATTATGATTATGTGGAATATGTACCAATAGATTATGATTATTATGGGGATTATGATTATTTGGAATATGCATCAGTAGATCATGATTAATTTTAATCTCAGCGCCCTATAGCAGTCCAATTATTGTGTCAGTCGACACAAATTGGCAAAATATGCTGTATTGTTTTATGTCGTTCTATTGTTTCCTGTAGTGAATTGGAACAAAATAGTATGTACCATGGTTGATGAGAAAATGTCTTCTCTTTCAGTCGTCAATATAATTTTGAGAAAAATGTATAGAAATTTTGAAAGTTGTAACGATAGGATTAAATTTGAATTTCTCTATGTTACATACTATTTTGTAAGTACCTCATAGATTAAGAGAACATAATGCGTATGATGCATCATTTATCCTTGTTTACATTCGATAAATAAGGAAAATTATGCATAAAACGAAATGCCCCAATAATTAACAGAGAAGCATGTTTGATCGACGAGATATTCTGCGGGTATAATTAACGAAAAATATATCCAATTAAACGAGTAATTTTTTGGTACATTTAATAAGGTACAATTATCAATGCAGGTCAAAATACAATAAAATGATATTATTACGTAGAGCATAATCAAAAAATAATTAATAATGCGGGATTAAGTATACGGAAGTGTTGAAAATATACGTGTGATAGCACAAATTTTATTAAATCAATGGTTACTTTAATATTAATAAACGGAATGAAATATTAACAATAAATAAATCTTATTTACTTTTAATTGTTAACTTGCGATTATAAAATTTATTAAATTTCATCTAATGAAATTTAATTACCTTCACCTTGTGGTACGCTGGTTAAGGGTACATTCTAGTAACCGGCTAGTAGCCGGCGAGATTATTGGATCTCAACAAGGATTAAACCGATCAAGTTTTAAAGTCGATTCTACATTAGTTGCAAGCTGATCACAAGTTTGTTGCGATATAGCCAATATGAACCATTAATTTCAAAATGCAAGCTTCAGATTGGCTGTCGCAACAAACTTACGATCGGCTTGCAACTAATGTAGAACCGGCTTAAGTGTGCTCAATCGATTGCGACCGCTCGGAATATATTTAACGAGACGCTCAGTGACACGGATACTTACGAAATAATAAAAAGAGATCCTTCCAAAAAAATGATAACATATCTTAAAATCATGCTCACAAGATGGAAGACTTGCAAATACATTAATGAAGCTCAATACAAAAGGTTATATTGCAATGGTGGGACGCTGCCGAGGGTTTATGCAGTGCCTAAGATTCATAAACCGAATTGTCCTTTTAGGATAATTGTATCTTCAATAGGTAGTCCATTATACTCATTAGCCTCATATCTACACATCATGTTCGAAATAATTCCGAAAGCTGAGAGTTACATAAAAAACAGCTTTCAACTAGTTAAAAATCTAAAGGGAATAAAAATGGAGGATAATTTCAAATTAATCTCACTAAATGTTGTATCTCTCTTTACCAACATCCCATTAGACATGGCTATAGATCGTGTAAATGAAAAGTGGAATTTCATCTCCAAAAAATGTAACTTACCTAAGACAGGATTTCTAACAGCAGTTTGGTTCATTCTAGATTCGACATATTTCTTATTCAATAATACTATTTATAAACAGAATTTCGTCACGCTCATGGGGTCTCCGTTGTCGCCATCATGCAGACCTAGTAATGCAAAAATGAGAAAAAACGTCATTGTTGTCTTATAATAGTCAATTTCTTTTCTATTATTGGTACGTTGACAATCTATTTACTGCTGTTCCTTCTCCTGAAATTAATGCGTTCTATGATTGTTTTAATTCTTTTCACCCACGACTACAATTCACGTTAGAAGTAGGTTCTTTAAACTTTCTTGAGGTCACGATTATGGTCAAAAGAAAACATTTAATCTTTGATTGGTATAAAAAACCGACGTTCTCAGAACGGTTTTTAAACTATTTTTTGAATCATCCCAGAAAAGAGGAATAATTTTTAATTTAGTTGACAGAGTTTTACTATTGTCTGACTCGGAATTTTACCAAAAAAATCTCGCATTAATAATTAACTAATTATATTAAATATCACATTAATATACTCATTGAGAATGATTATCTCCTAAGATTCGTTTTTGATACAATCAATGATAGAATCAGAAGCATACAACGTGGAGAAGCAGCGGTACATGATTGTAATAATCAAAATGAGGAATCAAACGTTATTACATCTTGGTTCACTGTACCATTTATTCCATCGATAACCGACAAATTTAATAAGTTTAATAGGGAGGACATTAAAGTCTCGTATTATAGCTCGAATAAATTGAGTAAATTTATCAAGATGCAAAAGGATTCTAAACCAGATCTTACAAAGAACAATGTTGTATACAAAATCACGTGCAACGATTGTGATGCATCATATGTCGGACAAATGGATAGACAACTTAAAACCATAATTGCAGAACACCGCAATCATACTTGTTGGAATACATCTACCCGTTCTGTAATTACCGAACATAGAATGCAGATGACACATGATTTTGACTGGAATAATCCAGATATTAGATGAAGAACCGTGTTATAATAAACGCTTAATTTCTGAGATGTTGAATATCAAAAAACAAAAAAACAGTCTCAATCTGTAAACCGACACCAAAGGTCTTCATAAACCATATACATCTATTAAACAAAACATCACAATCTCAATCTGTAAACCGACACCAAAGGTCTTCATAAACCATATACATCTATTAAACAAAACATCTATAAACAAAATTTGACTTTGTTCTTATCGAATCGTTTTGTCAATCTATTAGTCGTTCCTCAGATAGTGACGGTCTGCCGTATCGTTAACATAACGTTAAAATAATATTCCTAGAGGATTCGTTCTTTGCATAAAATTAGTTTGTTCTCATATGGACTGTGAAGTATATTTATCGTCAGTATCTGACTGACGTTTTTGTCATTATATTTCATACATTTAAAAATAATGATTTTGACGAAGTGTTCATCCTACCTAAAAAAGACAATTTTTCTAAAGAATTTTATTTTATTAAATTATTTATCTATTTACTGGCGAATGAATTTTGTCTTTCTGATCAGAACATCACGAAATTCCGTAACAATCGACCATCTAATCGTTTGTGAGTATCGGACTTCTTCCATGTAACAATCATCAAGATCGTTACATAAATTGGAACACATTATGATATTACATCATGTTTTTTATCTCTTTGACGATGGTAACTAACCCAGCAAACGAGAATAGGTTAAAATGTATTCAGATTTTCAGAAATACGGATTCATAAATGTTAAAATGAATCCTTTTCAATCCTGAATACATTTTTATTCATTTATAGAAATTATATATGAAACAAATGTCTATTCCTTTTCAATCTTCAATGCATTTTTATTCATTTATAGGAATGGCATGGAGCATGTTTCTATGCTTTTCAATCTAAAAATAATATTATAGTATTTTATATGCATCGTAAATACTGCTTAATTCAAAATTGTGAATAGGAAAGTGTAGTTTTTCAATCCAGTTAAATCTAAAAATAATATCGGCCATTTCTGTGCATCATGAATACTGCTCAATTCAAAATTCTGAATAGGAATGCAATTTCTTAATCTAATTGGATAAAAAAAGTTTTTCTTTTAAAATGAACCATGAATGCTATTCAATTCAAAATTGTAAGTAGAAAATCCATTGTTTCATTTAAAAATGCGTCATGAAAGCTACTTTATTCAGAATTATGAATAAGAGATTTTTCGTTCTAATTCAACTGAGTCAAAAAAAGTTGTGCCGTAAAAATATATCATGAATTTTACTTCATTTAACAGTTAAAAAAAACATAAAAAGAACTACATAAATATGTACAATAAATGTTACATATACAAATTATTTTTAATTAATAAATTAATCTCTTTTATGTATATTTCATATTAATATGTTTCCTTGATTATACAGCTAGCGTATATTTTTTGTATAAGTTTTAAAATAATAACTATTGAAATTCATGTAATTACTACTTTAATTTATTTAAACTTTTACACGTATAAAAACTTTTTATATGGAATCCAATCCGTTTTTATGGATTTAAAATACGGATTCGGATGGATTGAAAATTTCCAATCCATTTCAATCCATTTTCGTTAGCTGGGAATGTAAAGCGAGAGGAGGATAATATCTGAAGATGGCTCAATATAAGAGCTGAAACATGTAATAATATTTCTAATTTCTATTATGTATGTATTTAACTCTTATTAATAATTTTTATACGTTCACATTTAAAAAAATCGACTCTTATTTGCCCGTTTATCGTTATATTATTATTGATTAATATATACATAATCCTTTCATGTTTTTAATAATATATAACCTCATTAAATGATTATCTTCATGGCTCAACTTATCCTTCGCGGATGCTCAACATGTCCCATAGGTGAGGCATATTGATCCACTTTGCATCCTTATAATTAACGTAATTTTTTTCTTATTTACGAGATATATTAAGAATTTATAAGTACTTAATTATTGAGTCAGATAAACATGCAACATTTTAAAGCATTTACCATTAGTCTATCATAATTGTATGAAGATTTATAATAATTTAAAGAAAAAGTCACACAACTAGCCTCGCTCTACTCTACTATATACATTATAAATATATATCTTTTTTTAATAACTTAGATATAAATTTATATTTTACAATTTGATTTTCTTATATCAAGCGCATTATTTTATAAAAAAAAATATATATAGAATATAATTTTTAAAAATTATTCGAAAGGGTAAAATTTCTTTGAATTCATTTTATTTCATTCACGCAATACCTAACCGCGTTTGTGTATTTACAATCTTGTAAGGTGATTATTTATAATAATCTTTTGCCGATTACAATAGAGCAATCACAGATCACATTGGAACTTCGCCGATCTTCCGTAAAGGAAATAATTTGTATAGATAATAATCCCATAATATTATATATATATTCAGTAATTAATCGCTACAAAATATACATCCGATCCTTGTAAAGTCCCGCAAGAGCCTTTATATTATATTTTTATTTCTCCCGCACAAGATATTATTTATGCATTAACATTATAGTCGCTATAAAATATTATTTTTATCTGTTACTAAATCGTTGTCCTTCTCGTAAAAGAAAATAATTTATGCATTAATATTAAGTGCTAGAAAATGTGCCCAATCTTTGAAAGAGATGTGATAAATTCCTTGAACTCTACAGAGAGCAAAGCCAGACGAAAGTTACACGCAAGGCCATTCGATATTAGAGAAGAGTTATAAAACGCCCAGTTCACAAAAAGAGTCCTCGTTATACGTACAATGTTGTTTAGGAAGATACAAAAGAATTTACATAAAGATAAGTAGATTACCGATATGCTTTACAATGTTTTTATGTCTTAATTTCATCGGCACTTGGACCGGCGATAATAACGCTATTATTGGCAGTAATAGCCGTTTCCAGCAGATGATTCCTGTGCTTCTTCATTGTATGATTGTTGTTCTTGCCGGTCAATACCATTAAATCCGAGTGTATTCTAAAGTGCAATCTAGATTCTAATAAGTAGCCCGTATAGTTTTTTCTGAAATTTAAATACAATTATAATTTCTAATGTAAAATCAATGTTAAATGTATAATGTAATATCCAACCCAATCAGCAGACAATGTTTTTTAAATGTTTTTTAAATGTTTATTTCTTATTAATTTTACATTTTTTACGATTCGTTTTCAAAATTCATTAATTTAACGTTTATTTAACGTTTAATTAATGTTTATTTTGAATTCATTTTTTATTTGAAATAATGGTTTGAAAAAAACATTTTTTAAACGTTTATTTAATGTTTATTAAATGTTTATTTTAGATCAATTATTCGTTTGAAATAAAGGTTTAAAGAAATATTTTTTAAATGTTTGTTTAACGTTTATAAAATGTTTATTTTATATTATTTATTCATTAAAAATGTGGTAATATAAGAAATATTGATTTCACGTTCATTTAACATTTAGTAAATGTTTATTTCTCATTAATTATTTGTTTGAAATAATTGTTTTAGAAAACATTTATTTAATGTTTATTAAATCTTTTTAAATGTTTAATAAATATTTGTTCTTTGTTATTTATTTACTTAAAATATGATAAAAAATACATTTATTTAACATTTATCTGACATTTATTATAAATATGAAAAAAATATTATTTTCTAAAGCTCAAATTTATAAAAAAATGGGTCGGGATAATAAAATAATCACGGAAGAGAAGTTAACACAATATAATCGCGTTAAGTGTACCATACCCAGTGAGAAATGACAATGGAGTCGACATCGAATCGATGTCGATTCGACGTCAAAATCATCGAATTGACGTCGAATCAACATCGATTCCATTGTCATTTCTTACTGGGTATATGGACAATAAGAATTATGTGCATCGATAGTCATAAGTAGCGTGATAAGATACAAGACTCATAACTCCGAGGTCTCAGGTTCAAAACCCAGCCGGTAAGTGAAAAAGATTAAAATATAATTAAAAATTGGAATTAATTAATAAAATTAGTTGTCTAATTTAGGCACTGTCAATGAAAACAAAAAATTTTTTTTAATTCCACATTGTTATTTTTTCTAATTTTTTTCAAATAATTTTGACATTAAAAAACATTTGTTTAATGTAAAAAGAAATGTTGCTTCAAATGTTAAATCAATGTTTTTTAAACGCTAAAAAAATGTTTCTTTAAACGTTACAATAAATGTTTTTTTAATAAAAAAAAAAGAGAGGGTCTTTACCCATTATTTTTAACGTTTCTAAAAATGTTTTTAAAAATGTTTTTTAAATATTTTTAAAAACACTTTTAAAAACATCGTCTGCTATTTGGGAAACTAACTTAGCATCTTCCAAAAAGCCTATAGCCAGTTGAATATCACCCTGATCTCCCGCCAATAACGCTAATTCCACAGTGGCATAGGGAAATAAGTACGTGTCCTCTTTGACAGACTTTTCCAATTGTAAAACTTGTCGCAGACATTCCTCCGCTAGTAAAGGATGCTGCATTTGTCGTAGACAAGCGCCTTTCAACAGCAATAGGAGTGCTTTGTTGTCTGCATCATAATTACTTTTCCTGCACAATACATTACATATTTCTTTTATTATATAACAAGAGAAAAAATTAAAATTGATAAAATACTTGCTGTATTTTGTCTTTTAAATGTCCTTTGAATGTACAATTCCCAAATTCGAAAACAGATTTTGGAAAGTGTTTACTACAAATTTTTCCATTTGAAGCTATTTATGTAATCATATATTTTATAATAGGCACTTATGTTAAAATAAAACTTAAAATCGTTGGCAAAACTTACGAGGCTGTTTGGAGTTCCCTTTCCTCTTCTTCTATCCTCTTGAATATATTTAACAACAGGTCTTGCCGTTTGCCTACTATCCTGAACAGATTCCATACGTACATAAGCTCAAACACGGGTAGGACTAGGTACTTCTTTTGTGCAAAATAACGCTGAGTCTTTTTGATTATAAACTTCTCCATCGGTAGCGACTTGCCAGCAATACGCTGCTTGTAGGTCGGTGCCAGCATCATTAGGTTGTCGACCAGCTGTTTCTCCTCACTCCAAATCGTCGGTTTCTGCATAAGCAGGATTGCAGCCTTTTGATACAAGTAGATAGTACGCGACCAGTTGGACTCGTTTACCAACATCGTGGCGTACGTGGCCGCATTGCTCCACTGCTGTAGCGAACAGTGCGTCCACATTAATTCCCAATAACAGATATGATGGAACTGTGGCCAAACATTCTGACTCTTCCACGACTTTATGTACCAGTCTATGCATTCCTCGAAATTGCCTCGCGTAAATTCTAGTCTTCCCTTGAAAAATAGGAACCACACACCGTTCGGATAGAGGCTCAGTTCCTGTTCCAATACTTGCTCACACCACTCTAGATCGCCGTCCGAATGACTCAGCACGATGCAGACTATCAAATTGTAGGACAACAGAGTCATCACACATAGGATTTGTCGCAATCCTCTTCTTTCATCATAGCCTGCTTTCAATTCCGTTAGACCGTATTCCTAACGATTAAAATTTATAAGTAAAACTCTCTACCTCTCGCGCTATACTATATACCTAACATATAATTATATGACATATCCTATAATCACCTTATCGCCGGAGAACCCGATAAACTCTAACAATTTAATAACACGCGCTGGTAATAATGAGATCATCTAGAACAAAGTTCGATTTAATAAAAAGTATGCAATAAAAGATAATATATATTATAATAAAAATATACAAATACCAAATTGAACGCGCCGATGCCCATGCGAACGCCACTCTCGAAATGCACTTTATGAATGTCGTTTCCCCATTTCCGGTTTTTCAAGATCGTCATGCATTCTCTGCAAGAGATAATAATTAATTGTTAGAGAAATAGAAAATCGACGACAATCGTTCCATTGTGACTTATTTACTTGTACGATAGAAAACAGGTACGAATTTTCAGTCCTGCCTTGACAAAGCTGACCAGAGTTTCATCTTCCACAAATGTGAGCATCGATTTTAAAAGGAGCGACTCGGCATAACAGAGTTCCGCATGCACCTCCTCTGCAAGATTAATCGGTCATTCCTTTCATGCATTATATATGACAACTATTTGGCTATATCCGGGTTAATGTTATTATACATTCTAAAATTTAATCTTGTAAAATATATACAGGGTGTCTGATAATTAACGATAAAACTCGCATAGGGGCAGAATGGACTAAACTGAGTCGAAAAGTCCTCAACCATTTTGCAATTTTCGCAATAATTAATAAGATATTAATTATTAAAAATTACCGAATATTGGTCTTCAATAATTTTTTACTCAAATACTATCAACTTCACAAAAAAACAGCAAGAGACAAAAATTATTTATTTTCTTCTCATAAAGCTCTAAGAATTTTTTTAGAATTTTTTATCAACCTTTTAGTACTGCATTTTCTTATCAGTAACTATTTTTATCAACGTGAGAAAATACAATATTAAAAAAATTCTGAAAAAAATTTCAAAACTTTATGAGAATAAAATAAATAATTTTTGTTTCTTGTTGTTTTTCTATAAAGTGATAGTATTTGAGTAAAAAATTATTGAAAACTAATATTCAGCAATTTTTAGTAATTAATATCTTGTTAACTATATTGCAAAATGGTAGAGGACTTTTCTTCTCAGTTTAATCCATTCTGCCTCTATGGGAGAGTTTTATCGTTAATTATCAAACACCCGATATATGTGCCTTCCCTAATGAAAATTTTTCTCAGAATTTTTCATATAATTTTTCAGTATTTCTATATAATTTTATAATTTTCTCACATTTTTTATACGAATTGGAACACTTCTCAGAAAATCTACATCTTTTTCCAGAATTTTTCACATATGTTAATTATGAAATATCGTAAGATTTCTAAGATTTTTTATAAGTATAATTTCTGATGAAATATTATAAAATCTAAAAAATTAAAAAATATTTTTTTTTAAATTGTGGGATGAGAAATTTCAGAATATTTCAGAATTCACTTGTATGAAAAATTCTGAAGAAAGATGTAAACTTTTCGAATATTTCGGAGCATTTCTGAAAAATGTTCCAATTCGTAGAAAAATTATGAGAAAAATTTTTACCAGGGTTGGCAACAATTTAAAAAAAATGAAGATCAGAAGACCTCAATAATCTTGAATTTAACGTATTATGTTGTTAAGGGGTCATGACTTTGTACAATATTTAAAAGACTAATTATCGTTCGTTTCTTATTAAAAAGTTATTAACAAAAAAGTTACATAAATAAATATACAAGTCATAAAATGAATCGTGAATGAAGTGAGGGGCGGTGATGCACATTTGGCTCCCCGGCAACACGGAAAATCGTCCCACTATTTCGCCGCTGCGCGAGAACGAGCGAGACAGCGAGTCTGGTGAGGGGGCGCATCAAAAGATACAGAGGTTTAGGTTTAGGTTAAACGTCGCTTTATGTGGAAAGTTGTAAACGCATCGTGAAATCGTTACAATTTTCCACGCAAAGCAAAATTACACATAGATTTATAACTTTCAACGTGAAGCGAAATTCTACATGAGTTTACAACTTTCCATGACAAACAACGTTAACACTAATAATTTTAACCTTGATTTACATTGTATTGATCTTTTGTTTTGAGTTTTTCGATAAGTACTTTAGACGATTGTGATCAGTACGTATCAGTCAATATCAGTTAATAAAATAGAACAACATGTGGAGATACATGCAATCAAATATTCCTCACTATGGCATACGAGATTATCATTTTATATATTTTATCTTACAGAATTTTTATTTTAAAAAGTACATAATTAAAATAAGTGGATTAATGTTTTTCTTACATTATAAGTTCTATATAATTTTTTACAGCATAAGTTACATTGAACGATTAACATATTAATTTAAATTTTTTGCATATGTGCTATATATATTTTATTATTCTTCTAATATATTAATTTCACTTAAATTGGTATATTTCTCAAAATTCGTTTTGTTAATAACTTTTTAATTAGAAATGACTGACGACTAAAATCTTTTAAATGTTGTTCAGAGTGATGATTTTAACAACATACATATATATCAAGGTCAAGACCATTAAAGATGAATCCTTTAATCTTCATTTTTACCATAATTTCTATTAATGCAATAAAGGATTTACGATAATTGCGAAGATTATAACATTGTAGATTATTACGTTCTATTATATGTATTAATAGGAAGGCTAACAGGCATATGTTATACAAAAGCTTATTGTTAATTGTTGCCACTCAAAATGTAAAACACTCGATAATAATATTTTTTATAAATTTAAATCTACAGATCGTGTTAAAATTGCAAATTCACTTGTTATTGAAAATTACATAAATTTGACGTCATGATTGTTAGATAATACTCGTTAAATGCTCAATAATCATTGCAGACATTACGTGTTGTTTTAAGTATTACATGTGTATGTAATAGATTACCGTTCGTGTAAGCGTCATAGTTAATCTTCTTGACTATTTTTCCAATGTTCTGCGTAATACTGGTGTGCTTTCGGTGTTTGGAACACACGCTCATACACTGTTTCAACTTCTCTGATGCCTTCTCGATGTGTTTCTGAAAATTACACATAATACTATTGTTAAAGAAGTTAGATTTCGCACGGCTCTAGTCCGAATAAATAAAAAATACTTGACAGGAAAAACGTAATAAATATCAAAATACTTGTTCGAATGTAAGAATCGCCTCCAGGAACGCGAATACACTAGTTCCCAGAGAATGGTACATGCTGCTGTCCGCCCATGGCTCCATGATTTTTTTCGCTTCATCGAAGTCGTTGTTAAAGAAACAGTGAATCGCCTTTTTCGCTTCCATTATCGCTGTATCCAAATCCATAGACGCGAGTCTAGACAAAGGTTTTTCAAACGTAACAAAGTTAAAAAAAGCATAATAAAATAATGTGCACATAATTATAATACGCATTATGATCATGGAAGTCTCAAACAAGAAACTATTAATCTTTCCTCCTAAACATCAAGAAGAGAATGCATTGAAGAAAAAGAAGTACTTTAACTAGAAATAACATACAATAAATTATACGTAGTAATTATCAATATAATAGCGAGTTTTTACTCTTTAATAAAAAATTCACAAAGCGAAGAAAAATCTTTTACGTAAAATAATATGTAAATAACATGTAATACGTACTGTGGTAATGATTCCTGAGCATCTTGAAACTGAAATGCAAAAGTGCATATAAAATATGTATATATATTTTAAGTACAAAAATATAATAATTTGACTCAATAAAATATTTACCTCGTCATCGCCTTCAACGTCCGACATTTTCAGTTGGTGTTAGAAAATCGTTCTGCAAAGATATAATTTTGTTACCTTTAAAAATTGTTCTTATTAATTATTCCATGCACATGTATATATTTATTAACATTTTTATCTTAAATTTTGTATATATTGAAAATTCATCGAACAGTTGTATTATTATTATACTGTCTTAAGAATTTTAAAATATATTACGGAAATGCGCGCGTTCTAGTTTTACATTAAAGAGAAACGAGCATCGCAAAATAAAATTAATGAAAAAACATTGTGAAAAATATTACATTTAGAAAGTTGGATGATATTAAATTAAGTTGCTTGATTTTAAATTATATTTAGAAAGTCACGAATTTAATAATCCGTTAAAACAATATCATAACTTACAGAAAAATAATTTCCAGTTTTATCAACTTGATGCGGATCTGGATATCGATAATATATATATAATCAGCTGATAATACAAATGCGCGTGATGAAGTAAAGTTCACTTATGCTGGAAAATTATTTCAGAGAACCTGGAGTTTTTCGCGAATACGAAACGCATATGGAAATATTCGAGAAAATGTTACCTTGAACTAATAAACGATGCTAAGATAAACGTGCTAAAATAAACGTTATCCAATAATTAGTAAGCAGCGATATAAATTACATGGATGGTTATATACGATAAAGAAAACGAGCACAAAGAAACTTTGCCTACACAATCATACTGAATTTCACGCGAAGTTTTTACAAAACGGTATTCTTGCCTCGCAATCTTATTCCGTGATAAATTTAATTTCAAGTTCGTCCCAATCTGTTTGCTGCTGTATTTATAAAACATATATGTAAAAATAGACGCCGTTGTGTTCGTTTGATTTGCATTCGTCGCCACAGGAATCATTATCTAAAGAAATCGATGTGCTTGGACGAAAGTTCGTCTCGATTCCAGCGCGTAATAAACAATTTAACTTTCTTATCCTCCCTCCTCAGGCTCTGTTCACCAGTTTCACTTTGCCGCGATGCGGCGGCTGCGAAATGGGGCTGCGAAGCCTCGCAAGCGTTGGGGGAGCGACGAAAGCGTAACAAGGTGCAGCATTAAACGGCAACCATCGATATTTTTTTTTTTTTTACAAAATCTCCCACGAGTCAAAACATCCCGACAAAGACAAACGATTCACTTCACGGTTCACATTTCACCTCCTTCGTAAATTGTCCTAATCCCCGTGTATTCGCAAAGATATTCCTAGCAAAAATAAAGATTGAAGCGTAAGTCGAATATAAGGACACAAAGCAAACAGGGGAGAATAACAGAAGTGTAAACGAATCTTCTACACTGAGAAAAAATTGTTTATTTGATTAAATTAATTTAGTTCGTCTTTATTTTTTTTAATATTCGACTTATGTTCCGATTTTTATTTTTGCTAGGAGTCCCATACAACATGGACCTTCAAATAATATTCTGAAGACATCAAAAACACATCCTAATAAATAAACCTCAGTGCTTATGTTGAAGTACAAAGAAATTTATCATTAGCTTAAATTGAGTCTTTCAATTAAAAAAAATGTTTTTTATTTTCTCCAATTTGAAGAATAAATCTATACCCGATTTTTTGAAACTCGACATGTAAAACACTAAAATAATAGTTAATATTAATAGTTAAGAAACGGTTCTACTTGTAAAATACTTTAAACATGTGTAAAATAGAATTGTATAAAAAAAATTTCTTTTTAATAGAAAGACTATATTTAAGCTGAAATTAATGATTTCGTCACACATAAGCATTCGTTTTATCTCTCGGGAGCTGCTCGGGGTCGCTCCGAATGAATCCAGCGTACTTGAAATGTAGGATTCACACTATGTACTATTCGGAGCGACCCCGAGCAGCTCCCGAGAAACAAAACGAACAATGCTTATGTGTGACGAAATCATTAATTGTAGCTTAAATATAGTCTTTCAATTAAAAAAAAATTTTTTTTACACGACTCTATTTTACATATGTTTAAAGCATGTTTAAAGTTTTTTGCAAGTGCTGGGTCATTCGGAGCGACCCCGAGCAGCTCCCGAGAGATAAAACGAATGCTTATGTGTGTGACACGAAATCATTAATTTTAGCTTAAAAAAATTTAAGAAACATCGGCGTGTGAGATTCCCTGAGATTTACTTGAAAGGATGTTGCGTCTCTCGGATAAAGTATGTGAGGTGTGATCCTTCCTAAACTGAGGTCCTTATCCACTGCACCCTGGCACGGTAAGGCCGGTCGCTCACCAGGTCGTTTTAGGATGTGGAAACTCGCTCGAAGAGAATAACGAGGACGGCTCTGGATCGCGAAGAGGCCTCACGAAATCGCGACGAAGTCGTCTTTGAGACGATCAGCAAGGAGCGATTTCGGATCTTTCGCACGTGGAAAGTAGACTGCCACGAAGAAAGTATAGGCAGGCTAGACCTACATTTCCTAAACCCGCGCATGGCACATCAGTGTCGAGCGTAAAAGGCAGAGGAGGAGGAGGAGGAGGATGGAGAAAGCGTGCGCACTCGTGAATCCCGCGGATATTCGAGAACGTGAAGATCATAGCGCGGCGGTGAAGAGCGTCCGATAAAAACTGCGTTATCAATAATCCTCAAGGATAAGACCGCGATAAGATGTTTCTATTTGCGAAGAAATAAAAGAAATAAATTAATTAATGAATGGATAATTTGCGGAAAATTTTTCTTCCCTCCACTAGGACAACGATTACCATTTCCTACATTATACATCACGCTGAAAATTAAAAGGTGGGGCTAATTGAGATCTAATTAGATGCTTAATAATTCAAAAAAGAGAGAAACGGAATTTCTTATGATGTATGAGACTTTACATGCGTCATGTGCTATGCGAAAAAAAATAAGATTACTTAATCAATTTCATTGCAATAAAAACCAAGAAAAAATTTATACGTTTGTTTTGAACTTCAGAAGATTAAATTCTGCAGAATCACCGAGATAACTTTTAATATTTCCTTCTACTCATGTCAGTTTATATCGTGCGAGGCAAGAATAAATGAAATTTTGGCAACATATCGTGTAACATGAGAAAATTGGATAACCGATTTTTAATGCAAATTTTGTATCAAGAATGTGAATAATGTATTTTGCAATATTTGTTTAATATTAACTATGTCCATTTCTACCATTTCATTTAATATAGATTAACTTTAATCTCGATTTAACTGACTTTTTCTCTTTTTCTAGTTCTAAGAATTTCAAAAAAATAACGTTAATTTACTCCGAGATTGAAGTTATTCTATATTAGTAGAAATTGACAGTATTTATGATAACGAATCCACATTAACGTTAATAAATATAATAACAGTTTTCGTACGATTTCACGCGTATCCCGTGCAGAATAGATACAGTTTGCCAGAAAGCAGACTTCGGGTGATATTAAAGCGACGATAATAATTTGTTGACCATACGCCGATCCTCTTTACTGGTTTTGTTTCCGAGATAACGAGTTAATTATCTCGTTATTCGTTGAGCTGCATAGATAATAACAATAACCCTCTTTTCAAATTCTAATCATTTTCCGATTCCTACAGTTCTCTCGATTACGCGTTCGTAATCGTATGCGTGTACAAGCGCACGTGGTCACGACAAGTCGATCTTCATTAATAATTCATCCGAAAATAGAGCACAGTGCGTGAGTGCATGTCCGCTTCTGCCTGTCTCTCGTTAAAAACGGTTAGAGCCGCGCACGCGTTAGGCGTAGGGCGCGGGTGGACGTGGCGAAAATCGATCGTCGTCGTGAAACGGAAACGGGGTAGACTAAGTGAGGCAGGCGCGGGTTACACTGTCCTGGCCGTCAGCATCCCGCGTCATCCACGAGTCTAGGAACACATGGGGACACGTGGGTGAATCAATGAACCGACTCACGGCCGACCTAGACCGATCGCTCCGCGGAACGCGCGCTACGAACAGTACGAACAATGCAGCGGAATGCGGCGGATTCCTCGATTCCTAGTGCAGTCGCCCCCGAACTGCGTGAAGCCGGCCGATTACCGAGCAGCGCCGAAATACGCCGAGAAGCGACGACGAGCACGGAGCGCGTCATGTGCATCACTGACGGTTAACGCCGACGAGCGACGAGCTCGTCGTCGTCGGCGGCGGTGGTGGCAGCACGTGACCACCCGCACACGACCCGGGTGTTCAGGATCGTAACAAAGGCGAGCCCACGACGTCGGATTAGAAGTCTGTACTCCTTTTCGAAGAAAGTTCTGAATACTCCTATAAGTTCACAATATTCCTAGAATGTTATATGAATATTATTTATTCTTTTCAATATTTATATAACATTCTATGACTATTTTATAGGGACAATAAGTTACAAGGGATTGCAATAAGATGGAGTAAAAATAAATAGTGTTTGTTTTTCTCTGATTTATTTCACCCTAATTTACTATACCGGTATTCGCCAGTTCATATCTTTCCTTGGAAAAAAAAACAGCTTAGAATTTAGGATTTTTTAGAATTTTTTCCAAAATCAATAGAGAATGGTACGATCGATAAATACAGAATTTCTATTTAACATAGAAATAAAAATTGATCGTTTCATTAAACTTCAGTTTTTTGATGATTTTTCCTTCTCTTAAACCTTGGTTGATGCTCATTGTTACATTCAATAATCATTAAATTAACAATACTTTTGAAACTTCTATTATAAAATTATTATATCTGTTACAAATATGAAAAGTTACAAAAAACAGAATCTACGTTCAGTAATTAAAAACTTGCTAAGTTAAGAATACATACCGAAAATTTGCAACGTTCAGGTTTAAAAAAAATTGATTTGTCACTCTCTTTTGCGCAAAGATCTAATTTCTGCTGACGTTTTCTATACTAACCGAAAATTTCAAAATATCAGATTTCCCAAAATTTCTTAAATGCGTGTATAAAAGGCATAAAAATGGATCGTGACCATATATATTGTTATGATCCTCCTTCTCCTCCGTCCATAATCCTTCGAAAGGATGTGGTGATTTCTATCATATGCCTGTGGTGCGCACGCTGATTGTACACAGTCATAAATGCACTTCTGTTATGATCCTGTGTGTATATTATATCTACGGTTTGTTGTCTATAATCTATCGCTGCTTCACAAATATATTTTTTTCTTCAAATACTTAATTCTTATCTCGAAAATTGCATTATATCACAACAAAAATGTAAGGGACTATTTTGAGTGAAAGGAGCTGAAGATAACAATCCAAAATTTGTCCAAAAATAGTCTTTAAGGCGATAAGCTGAAGGCGCCAAACAAAACTACTTGCATTTTATGAACTCTGAGGCAAACAAAAAGTAAAGAGAATACATCAAATATTCTTGGTTCCGTAAAACACATATTGTGCATGTATCAGTTTATTTTTATTTAACAATCAGTGAACAACATTAAAATATATTAACATAGAAATATTTTTTCAATAAAACAAATATTTGCATTTGATAGAGTATACTTGTAAAATATATTGAAAACTCTACTTTGATTTCCTAATAGAAATAAATAAAATCATATTTATCTCAATTCGACAATTGTTATATAACCAACTGTTTCGTTTTCTGATTAAGCATATAATTCAATTTCAAATATAATGATTATTTATTGACATATAATTAAGGGAGTTCTCGGTATATTTCATAAGTCGATAATTCTATCAATTGCAAATGCTGTTTTATTAAAAAATATTCACATTTTAATTTATAATTTTCCTTATGTATTTTCATCCAAGATAATTACAATGAATATTAATATAAGAAATATTAAATAAAAAATTGTAAAAACTGCACAATGAAATGAGGTCGTACGATTTTGAATAAACAAGAATCGACGATTTCATAATGAATTCTTCTAATTATATGATCGCTTGAGTAAATACGTAAAGTATAATGTACTTACACACTCCATTATAAAGTATATGCAATTCTAATTACAGCCTTTATTTCGAATGCGCGAATGATAAGTCCATTCTACAATTACGTAAGCGTAGTTGTAAGAATTGATTAATGGCATTTTTCTCATATTTGACTGTAATTGATTAATTCTTACAGCTACAACATTGCTTACGCAATTGTAGAATAGGCTTTAATTCTAACTTTACGTTCGACAAGCATATATTTTCTTATCACTTATTATATAAGGGTCCTACAAACGAGCAACTTTGTAGCGCCACAATCAAAAACGCCGACCCGTTCATATAGAGCTATAGAGAAAAGTGTCGCGAATATGTTCACTTTTCTGTAGCGCGCGCTGCAGAATATACAGTGAAAGCAAAAAGAATTCGTACAAGGAAATTTGTTATAAAAAAAGTCTTATTTGTAGAAAATAAACATTAATTAGCAATTTTATGCAATGAATACATTCTGTTCTAATATAAACAAACGAGCATGTATTCCTGATTTTAGAAGCTAAATTTCTCGTCTATACAAATACTGTGTGCCTTCCAACAAG